TGTAAATTCTTATGTAGCCATAATGCAGACATAAAGGCCTAGAGATCTTGATGAAACCAAAGAAAAAGTGTGTTTCAAAGAGCTTTAAGGATAATAGTTGTGGTCAGGAAAGAGAATGTTTGAATTTAAAATTTCAGAGGTGAAAGTGATAATAAAATCAAGAGTATAGCCATTATTGTGGATGGCTGAGGTGGAGTGGGAGTAAAGTTCACTATATATGAAGATATCATGTGTCCAGAAGAATACTGATGTTACCCAGAGTCGTCAAATTCTATTAGATAAAAACCCTGATGGAATTCTAGAATGCCAGTGCTAGAAGTGACATAGCATTATAAATCATCTAACTGGACTTTATTAGTTTCTCAAAGTGTGGATCAAAGAAATGCCCACATTAGAAACAACTGAGGAACTCTTTTTGCAAAATTTTGTTACATCCGAACAAATGATGTAAAATAATATGCAGTAATCTAAATTTATGAAATTGTCCAGGTGATTCTTTTGTATACTACCTTTCAGCACCTCTGACTTAGTTCAACTCTATTTTATAATACTTCTCTTATAAAATCTTATTTTGATTCTAGTACTTTCCATTACACAAATCTTCTTTCTGCACCCAAAGCAAATAGTAGCAAGTGCTAAATCTATAACTATAAATCAAACAACATTTAAATAATATTTTGAATTATTTTTATAAAAAGAAAATAAAAATTCTTTACATGTGATCTGGCTCCTGCCTGACTCTTCCATCCCTCTCTTCCTGCCTCTAGGTGCTCCCACCTCAGGGTTTTTGCATCTGTTGTTCCCTCTGCCCAGACCCTTATGTTACTCAAGTCTCAGCTCAACTGTCTGTCTCTTGAAGAAGTATTCTCCGTTCTCCTAAATTAAAATAATTCCCACTCCATCCCATTCACCCTCTTATCACTATTCACAATTATCTAGTTCCTTTCTTTTTTTGTTCTCTTTTTTAAATTTTGTTTTATTGCTTAAAATATTACAAAGAGTATTACATATGTCTCCTTTTTTCCCCGCCTTGACAATCACCAGCCCCCCCCCCCCCCCAG